TCTTTCTTTTCTCTTTGTTGCACTGCTGCAATAAAGATCTTTTGGTTGCTCCAAGTGTTGTGGTCACTTTTCTTTCATGAAGGACATTCTAGGTAGAGGGAATAGCATGGGCAATGTGTGGAAGGCTGGGAAAGGAGGTGGCCTTGGAGGATTGGGGTCTTGCAGTTGGTTGGGGTCCCTCAGACTTGAATCCTCTGGTCCCCCACTCCTCTCTCCATCCCCCACCTCCAGTGACTGCAAAGAGCAGGGACTTCAGAAGGTTGGTCTACTGGACTGAAGCTCCTTAGGAGGCCTGTAGCCCATTTCCCTCATTCTCAAAAGGGCAAGACTGAGCCCAGAGAGGGCAAGACCATAAGCTGATGGCAATCGGCAGAGTTCTAGTGTCTCCTTCTTGTCTCCTTCCTGTGGCCTGGGAGCCTGTGCCCCAGACCCCTCTGTCCTTCTGCTGCAGACCCTTGGCCCCACCCCCTTGTCAGCAAGAGACAGGCCCTGCTCACACTCCACACTCAAGCCTGTCACATCCCCTCCTCCACTGCTGCCACCTGACTGCCCCTAATGGGATTGCAGATTCCTGATGAAATTAGCCAGAGGATTAATTCCTCTGGTTTTAATGACATGACAGACCACAAGAAACTTTACAAAGAAAATCTTTCTTTAGAACGCGGTGTGATAACGATGATCCTAACCCCCCTGGCCCCTGTTCAGCACGCAGGCGTTCACCACGGCTTTTCCGGATACTCTCGGTACAGAATTTTGCACCAGCCCTAGGAAAATTCATCTCTATGGGTGGGAGGAAATGCCTCATCCAGGGCTAACAGCTAGTAAGTGGCAGAACTGGGTCTTGCATACAGACCTCCTAGCTCTGTCATCTTTAAAATTAACAGGTACGCAAATCCCACAGTGGGAGCAGCTCTAGGTTAAAGGGCCCTGAAGAAGGTGCATCCTTCCTTGGCTTTGCAGTGGGTGGTGGCCCCGGGCTCAGAGTTGAAGTCGGGTCCCTTGAACTCAAAGCTACATTTCTCACAGTACTAAGTGCCCGGAGCCCCATCTACCTGTTCATGGGTAGAAACTGAACTTCATTTCATCACGTGCTAGCTCTGTGACCATGACCAGGGCACTCTGGCTCCTGGAGTCCCAGTCTCCCTTTTCAGTGACGCGAAGGTAGGGATCTGAGGGTAATTGGGAGGAGTTCCCATGATTAGTGTAGATAAAGCAGCAGAACAGGCCTGGCTCCCAGTGCTCACTGGCTCCTCATCCCCTTTGGCTCTTCATGTATTAAATGGTATATTAATAGTTCTTTTCCCTTGGGACTGGTATTAGGATTAAATATGTCAATATGAGTAGTGTGCTTCCAGAATGACACCCAGTGTCCAGTAAATGTCTAATTAATGTTGGTGACTGCTGGTATCTTATGGCCTTGCTTTCGGTTCCTTCTGGAATGAAGTAATGGGTAAAAATCAAACCAGCCAAGCAGATGTTCCTCTTCTTCCTCCTCCCATCACTCCGCAGTTCTAGAGGAGCTCTCGGCTTTGAGGCTGAACTCCCAGACCACGTGGCCTGCTCTAATTTCCCAGGCCCTAATCTGATCCCTTGTTCCTAATGATGCGGCTGGTAATAGGATTGTGGCTTCCCTCCCGAGCGGCCACCCAGGCCATGGCTGTGGGGCCAGCAACTGGTGCTTAGCAACTCCGACAACCTGCGTGCCAAGGAGCCGGTGTGCAGCCCGGACCCCGTGCCCTGGCCAGTCTCACATACATGGAATGGTGCTGTGCCCCGTGCCAGAAGGCCCCGCTCACCATGGTGCTGAGTGCCTTCCTGGCGCGAGGGAGAGACGTGTGCAGGCGGAATGGGCTGCTCATCTTATCTGTGCTGTCTGTCATCGTGGGCTGCCTCCTTGGCTTCTTTCTGAGGACCCAACGCCTCTCCCCACAGGTGAGCCGCCCAGAGCACCTCAGGGTCCCTGTAGGAGGAGTGTGCAGGCTGGAGGGATCTGGGGCTCCCAGTGACATGATTGCCAGTGAGTCACTCTGCCTGTCTGGGTCCCCGTTTTCTCCTCTGTAACATGGGTGTGATAAATGCCTGGCAGGACTAGAGGAGACACAGAAAAATGGTTGAGGAGAGAGAAAATAACAAAAAATCTGGCACAGCCGGGTGACTAGGAGGCGAGGACGCCCTGTTGGGATGACTGGGGGGCCTTAGCACTCTGGTGGAGGAGACAGAGGAGTCTCTTAAGAGCTCAGCACTCAGCTCCTACAGGCAGCCCAATGACTAGAGGTCCAGGAAGGGATTTGTAGGCAGCAGTCACAGCAGGAGCCACGCACCGGGCTGTGGAAGACTTCAGGTGAGCAGCAACGTACAGTGGGAGGCAGGGTCCGCAGGGTCAGAGGGCTGGCGCTGGATCAGGACTTGGGGCAAGCATAAGAAGACTATGAACAGAAAAATGAAGCAGATAGTTCTGAGCTTTGGAGAAATGCCCGGGTGCCAGGAAGAGGAGGGGGGGGTAAAGAAATAGGCAGGGATCACAGGGGGCAGGGGGCAGGGGGCAGTTGTAGGGGTGGGGTCTGATATTTGGATGAAAGGGGGTAGATATGAGAACTGTTCCTAACAGAGGAGGTTTCAGGGAGCAGTGGCTGCTTAGAGATGGGGTTGGGAGACGGAAGCAAGGGGGGCCCCAGGTTTCCAGCCTGGATAACGGCCTTGGGGAAGATGCATTGACTCCTTCCTTCCCTCTCAAGCTCCAGCTCTTGTGAGAGAAGGGAGGACACTCACATGGTTTTAGAGAAGGAATTATTCTGACATTTGTTCAAATAGTAAGGAAGACTGAATACTGTTGTGACAGACGTCAAGACTTCCTGGAGGGACAGAAAGGACTCAACTCCAAATACCACAAAGACATCTGGGGATTTATAGCCAAATAGCTAGCAAAGGGACACCCCCCCACCCCGCGAAATTACTAAGAGGAGACATCAAAGGTGGGGAAGTGTGCCTGAAGGCAGGCCAGGGTGACCAGATACCCAGAGTGAGGGTGGATTTGAGGGATGAGGGATTTTCACTAAGCTGAGTTGCCAGAATTTGGGTTAAAACTGTGCTATGCAAATGGAAGAAAAGGCCCAAGAACAAGGCTTCAGTGAATAGAGGGCCTAGAGGGAGCTGTCAACTGTTTGGCCAATGAGAGAGTTATGGTCAAGGGTCTCCTGGAAGAGTCCTGATAAGATTCCTCTTCCTGCAGCTCACTGATACTAATACTCTCTCTACAACTGGGATCCAGGCATCAGATTTTGTTTTCCATTAACAAGTAAATGCCATCAGGGTGCAGTGGCACACCTATGTAGTGGTGACCCAGGAGGCTGAGGCAGGAAGATCCCAAGTTCAAGTTCATCCTCAGCAACTTAGTGAGACTCTGTGTCAAAAAAAATGAAAAGGGCTGGGGATGTAGCTCAGCATTTAAGCACCCCTGGGTTCAATCCCCAGTCCAAAAAAAAAAAAGGAAAGAAAGAAGAAAATGCCCTCTCTCCAGGCACTGGGCCTCTGTCACTAGAACAACCTGGTCAACCTCAAGAAGTGACTAAGGAAAGCCATGCACTCGGGAGACAGAGGAACTTGAACTCTAACTCTGCTAATAAATGGCTGGGAAAAAATTCTTTCTCCTCTTAGGGATGGGGTTATGGCTCCATGGCAGAGCACTTTCCTAGCACACGTGAGGCACTGGGTTTGATCCTCAGCACCACATAAAAATAAACTAATAAAATTAAGGTATGGTGTCCATCTACAATAAAAAAAAAATCAAATCCTCTCCTCTCTGTCTTGATTCCCTATCTGTAAATGGAGTGGGAGGAGGTCTATATCTTCTAGAACTGAATTACTGTAAAGAGTGAAGAGGATTCACCAGCATCCAGCGTATAGAAAGTGCAGACTGAATTTTACTTTACCTTCCTTTCCTCATCTACCTGTCAAAGTCCTGCCTACATCAGGAACCCCACCCCATATTCTGTATCTTCTAGAAAGTCTTCTAGAACTGTCTCTGTCTGTAGTACAGTCCATCCTGGGATCACACCTTGCAGCCTTGTCCTCGGCAGGCCAGCTGCTGGTTGCTTGCTCAGAGCCATCAGTGTCTGTTTCCCCCAATAGACTGCAATAACCGAACAACTCATGGGTTCTCTTGAACTAAATGTGAGCCACACGCAGTGCTAGGCGTGGGGAGTAGAGGTTTTGTCAGTGTTAAACCAGCGATGGCACAATTTGCAATCTGCTCTCTTTTGATTTTCTCCAGCAACAAATACACATTTCCTGAAGGAAGATCATTTTGTGAAAACAAATTGGAATGTCTATTATTAAAAGCCAAACCCATCTGGGGCCTCCTATGCTAGAGCTGCCTTTCCCATCTGTTTGGACATGCAAATGTGTTCCCGTCTATATTAACCTGCCAGATAAACTGAAGGAAGGATGTGAAGTCTTAGAACAATTACTTGGCAGGAATTGGCTTTCTTAGCATCTTACTTTGAAATCCAGGATTTCTCTGTTTGATCTCTTTGCTTGTGACTCAGAAACTAAGCCCGTCTAATTTTGTAAGCTTATGCAACAGGCAAAAATCATAAACAATTTAGAACATGGTAGAATGTTCTATTTGTGAAAAGAAACTTACAAAATTATATGATTTTTACCTTTGGATATGAATAGCTAGTAAAAAAAAAATATGGACTGTTTTGAGACTTCCAGTTAAACCAGTTAACGGGGAATTACAATTACATTCATTTTCCTCTCCTTCCTGGAAATTATAATAATGGAATTTTTAGAGGCTATGAACCACCCCAAACAAAGGGGATATAAAAGCAGATAGCTGAGAAAGGAAGCAGAGAGACTGCATCAAATTCGGCCATGTGGGAAGAGGATGGAGTTGAATGATCTCGTTTAGTAATGCGCAGAAAGCCAACATCTTAATGTCTATAGAAGTGGAGACCAAGCAGCTTGTCCTGCAGAACTCCAGAAGTGCTCTGGATTTGGAGGTGCACAGTGTGTTCTAGGCCCAGGTGAGGTATGGAGTTGAAAGTAGGGACATTGGCTAGAATTTTGTAATTAGAGTAATGAGACCCCAAGGGCTCCTCCAGTTCATGGTGGCCAGAGGACTCTCCATCCTCCTGCCTCTACCTCCTGCCTGTCCAAAGAAACAGAAGCTTGACTTAGGGATATCAGACCCACTTGCATGTGTTGGGGAAAGGGACAGTGGTAAGGCACAGGCTTCAAACAAATTAACAGACACCTGCACTAGATTTCTGTCCATAGTCTCCTTCTACAATGGGAGGAAGAGAACTCACTGAAGGCTTGGAGCAAAGATCTCCAAATCCTGATAGAAAAGAATTTCCACTCTACCCATCTCCAGTTAAAAAGCCAGGTTGCACCCATTAGCCTGCCCACAGGGCAATCAGTTGACAAGCCCCATACATACATCTAAGTTCAGTGCTTTACTCTTTTTTATTGTTAAATTTATTTATTTATTTTAATTAGGTATATATGACAGCAGAATGCATTTTGATTCACTGTACACAACCGCAGCACATCTTTACATTTCTCTGATTGTACACGATGTAGCATCACATCCTATGTGCAGTCATACATCTCATTCCATCATCTTTCCTGCCAATGCTTTACTCTTAATGTGAGCAGAAAGCCAAAGTCACCAGAACTTTAAGGAAAGCAGCTGCAAATGTACAAGAAACTAAACAAAGAGAAAAATAAATCTTCTTTTCTCAAAAAAGAAGCAAAGACAATGCAGGGAGTAGAATATAACTTTTGAAATCTTTTCTTAAGATCTTTGGTGACCTGAGAGAAGATATAGTTACCATAAAACAGAACAGAATATGGGGGCTGGGAGTAGGGCTCATGGTTCAGCCCCCCACACCACAAAAACAAACAGGCAGAAAGCAGAATGGGATGCTAAAAAGAAGAAACAATTCATCAGAGAATAAGAAAGAGCTTTGGGAAATCAAAAAATAGAAGAACCAAGATAAAAATGTCAATAGTTGGGACACAGATGTAGAAATCACTCAGAGTAAAACAAAAAGATGAAAATAGAAAAAGAAAATAGAAGCAAAGTGGAATGCCCAACATGCCAATTTTAAAGAGTGTTAACAGTAAAAATGGAGGAAAGAAAAAAAAAATTGCAGAGAATACTCCAAGTTTCTCAGTGTCAAGGAGGCATAGCACAAGAAAGAGAAGAAAAGAAAATTCCATCACATACTATCACACGTCACCATGAAATTACTGAAAAGTGAAGATAAACAGATAGTCTTTAAACAGTTCCAAGGAAATAAGAACAGTTCTCATGTAAGGAGCAGGAGACATAAGAATGGCTTTGAACATCTTAAGCAACACTGGAAGTTAAAGACAAAGGAGAAATGCCTTCAATGTTGGGAGCAGAGATTATTTTCAACTGAGAACCTTACCAATGGCCAGGCTGCACGTAAAGATTCACAAGTTTCCCTTCCTCCCAGTCTTTCTCAGCTACCAAAGGAGATGTTCCATAAAAACAAGAAAGTAAACTAAACAAGGGACCCAGGAAACAGGGATCCTATGCAGGATAAAGTCCCAGAATGACAGCCAGAAGAGTCCCATGACAGCCTCTGGGCCTAGACAGCAGGCTGTCCAAACTGGGATGGGAAGGCAGAGAGCTGTCGGAGGGGTAAAGGAAACCAAGGTAATGCGTGCATAGAAAATGCTATTATTAGATATTTAAAAAAATATTTTTAGTTGCTAATAGACCTTAATTAATTAACTTATTTATTTATTCATATGCGATGCTGAGAATCAAACCCAGTGCCTCACACATGCCAGGCAAGTGCCCTATCACTGAGCCCCAGCCCCAGCCCCTACTACCAGACATTTTAATAGACAAGTTCGAACATTTGGAAGAAATTGATGAGTAGTTCATCAAATGAAAAATCATTTTGAAATTTTTCATTTCAAAGCAAATGAAACATCAGTGAATTACTAACTTCAGGAGGAAAATAAAGGTCTAACAAATGAGAAGGCCAGGCTGGAGCACATTACTTGGCTCAGCAGTGAACATATTTGATGGTCAAAATTTTGTAAATCTCGACTACTGATTCACCTGAAAATTGACATACAAATAATGGTGAAATGGGAAGAGGAACAGAGCAGGTGGGGACAAAGTCCTCATCATCATGGCAGGGAAGTTAATAGATGTCAAACTGGTAACATGAGAAATAGCATTGTGACCACATTAGCTAGAAATAGTCATACTAGGGGAAACAGAGAAGTTGAAGGTGTTCCTTCCTGGGAAGTTGAGGGGTGGAGATAGAGAGGGGAGGAAGAGGCTACCTTTTATAATTACAGCACTATTCAATTTATAGAAAAAATGCACATGTGGATTATAATTAATCTAAAATATATAGATGCATATGAGTATACTTCTTTACAAAGCCAATTTTCCAGGTGCATTGGAAATAATAGAATGAAACTAGGAAGCCTGATTCTCTGTCCTCTCTGTCACTCCATGAACAAGTCACCTCCCCCTCCTGGTTCAGTTTCTTCCTCTACAGAATGAGTGGCCTGGACGAGATCTTTAAAGCCCCTTGGAGCATCAAAATCCTATGATTTGAGGCTTTAAAAAGCATCAGACCATTAACAGATCCTCATGTTTGGCACTGAGATTTTAGAAATGGTTGCAAGCACAAAAATGTAACTTGGACGGTGTTTGAAAGTCCATTTGTCTGCCTCACCCACAGCCTCACCCGCTGGAGAAAGGGGCCCCAAGCCAGGGTTGCCAGAAATAGCAAAACTGAATTAAATTTAAACCTGAGAAACAGCACACCCCATTAAGTTAGACTTTTAGAGAAACAATAAATCATGTTTTAGAACAAGTAAAGAATGGATTATTATTATCTCAAAGTCAAATTTATCTGGGCTTGGTGGTCCCTTCTGCATCTGCTTCAAGGATTTACTCCTGTGACTTGTCATCAGGAGAGCAGAGGGGGCAAAGATTTGAGACCCTGGAAAGATCGGGGGATAGGCCTGAGCCCACAGCTGATGAAGGGGCGGATGCTAGAACTCTGCCTAGTAGGGACCTTTGATGCTGATTGGTGTCTCACCATCCAATCAGGTCCTTTCTCGGCATTTGGAGGGAAAGGCTAGAGAGTGGACCAGCACAAGTGGAGAATCTTTCTCTCAAGAGGGCAGTGGTCTGCTTATAAGTCCTTCTTCTCATAAATGAAACTGGGGACTTGGGCAGGAACCATTCCTAATTTATTTTGGGGTCCCTAGTATGATTCCCATCACAGTTTGGGTTGCAGGAACAATGCTCAGCCCTGCCCTCTTGCCACTTACGTCTGCTGTTGAAGATGGATTCTACACCATGGATCAGATAGGCTGGTGAACAGAGTCAATGGGGAGAGATGTTGTTTACTGGGAGTACTGAACATTTGCTCATCCAGGTGCTGTGCTAAGTACTTATGTGCATTCTCTCACTGAGCCTCCCAGTAACCGTCTGAGGTAGTTATTGAAAGGAAAGTGACCACTACACTCGGAGCAACCAAGAGATCTTTATTGCAGTTGTGTCTGATTAACAGGGAAGGAAGAGAAGAGAGAGAGAAGAGAAGAGAAGAGAAGAGAAGAGAAGAGAAGAGAAGAGAAGAGAAGAGAAAGAGAAAGAGAAAGAGAAAGAGAAAGAGAAAGAGAAAGAGAAAGAGAGAGAGGGAGGAAGAGAGCAAAGCGAGTTGGGGGAGCCCTGCAGCCAAAATCTAATGGGGTCTCTGGGTCTGCAAGCTGCCTTATTGTCATACAGTGATTGGATCATGCAGTAGTTGCTAAGAGTGTCATCTTCTGCCTTCAGGCAGACCGGGCAGGGGCCAGATGTGGATTTCCATTGGACCAGACAGGTGGGGGTCAAGTGTTCAGCCTCGAGTGGGGTTGAGTGTCCAGCCTTGAGGCAAACAAGTGATAAGGAACCAGACGGATGGATGGGGGTCGAGTGTCCAGGCTACCCTGCAGCTAACATTCATTCAGCCTGCTCAGCAACTAACAGTTATCATCTTCATGTTACAGGGGAAAACTTGGGTGAGGTCACCTGCTTAAGGTCACACAGCTGGTTATGAAGGGGGAGTTGCTGGGATTGGAACCCAGGTCTGTTTGGCTCCAAAACCCATTCTTTCTCCCTGGACTCTGCAGCCCGCGTGCAAGACAGGAGGGTGCAGATGTGATAGCGCTTTGCAGATGGCAAAGAACTGAGCGACCAAGAAGTCTGTGCCACCTGCTATAACTCCAGCTCTTGCTGTGTTTTCAGGAAATTAGTTACTTCCAGTTCCCTGGAGAGCTCTTGATGAGGATGTTGAAGATGCTGATCCTACCACTGGTGGTCTCCAGGTGAGAAGCAGGTGGGGTGGGGGGAGGCGGCTCTGTCCCCCGAGGACAGCCTCCGGGCTCCCTTGCTGTTGAGTAGTGAGCCAGCTCCTCCGCCCTCTCTTGTAAGGTGGGAATGAAGCTCCCAGGCTAGGGGCTCCTCAGTGGTACCTCGTGCTCCTACTGGGACGCTCTTGTAGGCAGCATTCAGATCTCTGACCAAGTCTTCTAAACTCTGCTGAAAGCCACCTCCTTCAGGACTCCTCCTCTGACTCCTCATCCTGCTCTGGTTATTGTCTCCTCTTTGTGCATCCTTGGAGTCATTCATGGAGCTGGTGAATTTGTCAAGGTCATCAGTGACCTCCATGTTGCTAATTCCAAAGGACAATTTCAGTTCCTGTTCTGCATGATTTCTCCATCAGCAGTTCATATTGTTGGTCCCTCTTACCCTCCTGGGATATTTTGCCAGTGGCCTTGCCCTCCCCTGGCTTCTTCTGCCCCTCAGCTTCTCTTCCTCTGCCCAGCCTTGACATGTTGCAGCCTCTCAGGCCTTTCCTGCTCTAACCTCATGGCTTCAATATGCCACCCCTGACCCAGGGCTCTTAGGTTAGGAATGTGAGCTCCACACTTGATTAACCAGCTACCTATTTGACATCTCCACATGGATGTTTCACAAGCATTTTAAGTTTAGTGTCACCAACTTGAGATTTTACCCAGCAGACCAGTTCCTTCTGTTTTTTACTGTCACTAAAGGCAGCTCCCTGTGCCCAGGCCCTTGGTCACCCCTCTCTGTACCCCACAGTCAGGCAATAGCAACTTCAGCTCAGCTCATCCCTCCCCATGGGTCCAGGGCTCTCTCTTTCATGTCCTGACTCCACAGTCATCTCACCTAGGTTCTTGTCCCCCACTACTCTGCCCCATCTATTCTCCACCCAGTGGCAGAATGAGCTCAGTATTTGCCTTCAATAGCTTCCATGTATTTAAAATAAACCCTAAGCTGGGTGCAGTGGTCCATGCCTATAATCCCAACAGCTCAGGAGGCTGAGACAGGAGGATCACAAGTTTAAAGATAACCTCACAATGGAAAGGCGCTAAGCAACTCAGTGAGACCCTGTCTCTAAATAAAATACAAAATAGGGCTGGGGATGTGGCTCAGTGGTCAAGTGCCCCTGAGTTCAATCCCCAATACCAATAAAAATAAAATAAACCCTAAAATCATTTACCTGGTCTAGGAAGCCCCATATGATCTGCTGCTTCCTATCCACTTCACCCCCATTTCATGTCACATTCATTCCAGTTCTGAGGGCCTTGGTCCCCTAGGCAGGCCAGACCCTCCCTCAGCTCAGGACCTCCACACCTGCTGTCCCTTCCACCTGGAACATGCTTCCCCTGTATCTTACACCTCTTCCCCCTCCTCTTTCTGTGGATCTCAAAACTTACATGTCACCCCCTTAGAAAGGCCCTCCTGCCCAACCCAGCCCATCCCCGCCCGTCCCAGCACACCACCTTGCTCTCCCTTGCTCTCCCTTGCTCTGCCCTTTCTCCCTCTGGTGCTCACTGTATTGTCATTCTGCACATATTCATTGTCTCTTTATTTTCCAATGGATGGTAAAGCAGCATCAGCACTCTGTTGACATTCAATTCCGGGTTGTCAGCATCTAGCCAAGTGCCTGTCACATAGTAGATACTCAATAACACTTGTCTAATGAACTAATGAATGAATCAACAACCATGCACTATGCTTCTTGAGTACTTTTCCCTGTGGTGGGCGCTGCAGATACAGAGATGACCAGGCACTTGTCTGACCTCAAGGAACTTGCAGGCTGTGGGGGAGACTGGCAAGGAGATGAAAGGAGGGAGCCCAGGACTCCCGCCAGGCTGTGATGGGCTCCATTGCTGTTGACTCTCCTTGCTGCCTGGGCATTCTGTTCTACTCAGAAGATACTGCAAAGACAGAGCATGGACCCTGGAGTCAGACTGGAGTTCCTGTCCTGCTCTGCCATTTGATAGCTATGTGCCTTGGTGCGAGTTACTCAGCTTAAGAGGAAAAAGCAAGTTCAGAAGTCCAAGGCCTGGGTGCTCAACCTGCCCCTCACTGCTGTGTGATCTGGGATGAGGCACCCGCCATGGGCTCCTGTGCTCCCTGTGGCTAAGGGCTGATCCAGCTCCCCTGAGCCCTGGCTCTCGCCCCTGGTCCCCTCCACTGGGCTAGAGTGCTTTCTCTTGGCTGGAACAGGAATGGAGTATTAACTTGAGAAAAGCCAGTGTATTCACACATTTCTTTTGTTTATTATACAGTTTGGGCTGATGCAGAGCAACTATGTCACTGAAAAATGGAAATGCTCTAACATTTTCCAACCAAGGGAGAATTAAACCTTCTTGGGGGAAGAATGACGCATTTCTGGGCCCCAAATCTCCCGAACCCTCCTTCCTTGGTTCTCAAATGGATCTATAACCCGTCATGCATCCACTAATGTTTCCTGAGCTTTGTTCCTGCTGCCCCAGGGCTGGGTGTCCCTGCTCCTAAAGAACACCCACACTGGTGTGGCTGTCATTCAGGGAAAGACGAATCTCCAGAGCCCCTTTGACAAATTTGTGTTAGACCTCACCTAGGGCTTACTGCACCAGAACTGCCAAGGGGCTGAGTAGGACTGTGTTTTTAAAGCCCCACAAATATTATGATTAAAAAAAAAAAAAAACAGATGGTCTTGGGGTCTGTCCTCTGGCTGGGCAGCTAGAGTCCAGCATAAGTTTGGCTACTCTTCCATCCCCAGTAGCTCCACACTGCGCCCCAGAAATCAGGGGCTTTGGGGGTATATAGGTCACAGGCAGTGGGGAGGGTTCAGATTCAGGCTCCTTTGCTTCTTGTTCCAACAAGCGGCAAGTCTGGGCTCAAAGACTGGCACCCATGTCTGCTCCCATCTCATCTCATAACAGCCTTTGCCTCCTCCCTACACCAAGCCCTGGAGATAAACTGCCACCTCATCTGCCTCTAAGCTTTTGCGTCTGCACACTGTCACTCCTGCTGAGCCCCTGCCTCCCTCCAATGCCCTGTCTTCTATTTAGTTCTCACCCTGTGCTCATGACCGATTTACTAGCTCATTCCTATCTGTGAAATCCACCCACCCAGCTCCTTGTTTGTTGGTAGCCACTGAGGACAGCCTGTGTCCACCTCCTGATAATACTATAACCCTGGATGTGCCCGATGTTGTTAGGTAAATGAATCTGTGGTCATAGTTGATGGATCTCATTATGGGGTACGGGCATCCTTTGGGGGTAGTGGCATCTATTTGAGTAAATGAAATAGCATTCCTATCTGGAGTAACCACTCTTCTGGCTGGACAAGAAGTAGCCCTCCAAGGGCCAGGCCCAGTTGGCATGATCCCACATGGTAGGGTGGTGTGTGCTGGAAGGGGATCAGGTTCTCCCCATCTTGGTTTCACAAGATGGGGAGAACCTGATCCCCTTTTGGTGGTCAGCATGACCAGCAGATATAAAAAGACGATGAGATGTAAAGAGCTGTGGCATTAGCAGTGAGGTTGACAGGAGAGATGGTTCTGCCTTAGAGGACCTCGCCATCTGGTAGGGAGACCATCACAGAGATTCTTTCTTCCAGAGAAGGGAAGGGAGGTCCCTGGGGAGTGAGGCAGGACTCACAGGGCTGAGTTGGAGCCCAGCTCAGTCACTGTTCCCAGCATCTTCTAACTCTGGGGCCTCTTTCTAGAATCTATTCTAATCCAGCCCCTAGCCTGAGCCCCTCAGATATGCTACTGTCCTGCAGGATGCCACCTATGCCTGCTAGCTGTGGCTGTGTAAGTCACAGTGAGGGAGGGGACCAGCAGCACAGGCAGGATGCCAAGGACCTACAGGAGGTCCAGGACAGGAGCTCTGTTCTTATCACTAGATGTGCCCACTTAACCAAGTCTCTGACCACCTGAGCCTCAGTGTCATCTGTAAAATAGGAGAGACACATTTCTCCCAAATGAGAAAGTGATATACCCGAAGACCCGGCATACCTCTGAGGACATTACAAATGCTACAGATTATTTAAATGCTGCTAATTATTTAAAGCTTCCCCAAGGCCCAGGTGATTCATGAAACCCTGCACTTCTGTTTCTGCTCTCAGCAGGCCGCCCCCTTGCATGGCCCCTTTCTTCTATGGGGTTTGGCCACTAGAGCTTACCTGACACCTCTCCTGGGAAGTCCCCCCAACTGAGCCCCATGAGGTGCTCCCTCGACACCAATAGAGACCTGCATGTAGCACCTGTGTCACATACACCATGTCTCTGGTGGCCTTTTGCAGAGGTATGGACAAACTCTCTCCCATTTCACCATGATGTGCTCACCTACTGCCCAGGGCAGTCCCCCAAAGCCTCCGCCTTTTCCATGAACTCTGTGCTCACTATATCTTGCTTTTGGCCCTCACACTCCTATAACCCAGCAGTTTCTCATTTCCCCAGTCATGTGGACATTGCTCCCTCACAAGGTTCACTCACAAAGATCACAGGCTGTCGGCTTTCTCCTGACTGTCCCCCAGTTATCTATTGCTATGTAACTACCACAGACTTAATGTAAAACAAACCTAGGGTTTTTGTGGCTTGGAAGCCCACGCCCTTCACTTCAGTGTCTCACAGGATCTCAGCCAAGGTGTCGGCAGGCCTTTGTTCTCATCTGGTGGCCCTGCCATGGAAGAACCCATTTCCAAACTCCTTGAGGTTGCAGGCAGAGTCATTTCCTTGTAGCTTCTTAATGGCTGTCAGCTGGAGGTCACTCTGGGTTCCTAGAGGCCACCTGCAGTTCCTGACTTCTGACTCCCTTCACAGGCAGTTCGCAGCAAGGGTCCCACACTTCCCCAGGGCTGGGGAGGCTCTCACTCTCCAGTCCTCTTAGACCAAGTCTTATACAGTATGATCATATGAGTGACATCCCATCATAGCCTATTAGAAGCAAGTGACAGACCTGCCGGCACTCAGGAAGAGGCCTACCCTGGGCACAGACTCTTGGAGGTCTCCTCATGGGATGTC